GATTTGTATCCAATCACTTTAGATATTGATAGTTGGGAGGATTGAGAGTCCTCACCCAGAAAATCTGTTTTCATTTACACTTTTTGCATTTTTCCATTCATCAGAAATCGAAATACTGATACATAGTTGTTTTTATTTTAATCGAGATGATGTTTTGCTCCTTGTTTGGGCTATTCTAAATTATCATACCATGACTAGGAGCTAGATATTGGCATGTTGGACTTATTTTGCCTTCATGTCTGTGGGGGCATGTTGAGTCGATGTATTTGCCATTTTGAACAAGCTACTAGTTTTGCTTCATGTTTCATGCATTAAGTATATTTTTCATTCTTTTCGACTTTGAGTTTGACCTTTCATATTTTGGATATTCTTTCATACTTTGAATATGACCTTTCATATTTTCGAAAATCAAAGATGAAATAAGTAGGTTGCAAGAAAAATGGCAAACAGATGGTCAAACATTTTCTCTTTCTTGTACAACGATCTTTTCAAAAAAGATTTTAAGTTCAATTCCTTTTTTTTTCCTCCCACCCAAATGCTTGGTTTGGTAACTTTAATTCGTCTCTTCCTATTTATTGTCTTAAGATAAATTAAGCAATGTCTATTTTTAACAAAAAGAGAAAAGAAAAAAAGAAAAAGACGTCCAATAAAATATCTTGAAAATATCGTAAATATTTATAATATTCCATAGAAAATCCATATTTGTATATGCTCCTTGTAGTGACAATTTATGGTACAAGTTAAGCTACACCCAACTTTGATAGATATTTACGTAGGAAAAAAAAGGTTAAATGCCTTTAAGAAAGTCGTATAATATCTAGTGTTAAAAGAAACGGCTTAGATCGACCCATTCAACTAAAAAAATTGAGACCATCTGAAATCCGATTTGGATATAGATCAAAAATAAATATTATGTACTAATAAAATAACTAAAGAACCATCTAGTTCAACTTCAAAATAAGCAGGTTTAATGTCGAATTCTGAATTTTATTTAATTATGCAATTCTTATTAGCAGTTTGTCCCTTTAAATGTTGATCCTGTTGTAACATCCCGAACTTTTAGTGGTTTTTAGGATTTTTCTACAATTTTTTCTCTAGGAAATTCAGTGCTACAATGAAAATTAGGGCACAATATCGAAAATGGTGCTAAGAAGGTTTATCTGCTAAAATTTAGAAATGATTGTGCAAGTTTTTGCAACTATTATGCAATTGTGGATAGGGATGGCTACGAGACGCTCATAAGTATGAATAATTATGAATAAATAGGATCGATAGGATCTCGTCAAGTAGCACACTAAAGGATACATTATTTTAAAGTAATTTCAAAATGACATTTACACTTGTAACCTTACTTCTATAAATAGTTGCCCCTTTCATTTGAAAATTACAAATTCTTTTGAACGACCTCTTGTAAACCAACTCCTTGACTATGAAGAGGTTAACCCCCCGAAACCACTTTAGTTTGAACAATTTAAACAAGTAATGATGACAAGTGATTACCAAATAACTCCAAAATATTTTGTGAATGCAAATTCAAACTTACGTGTGCATACTAAGGTGAATATTGGTAACTGCAACAACGGTACAAAGTAATGTGATACACTAGTTGACGCAATGCTCAACAACAAATCATAGGTAAATTAGACCACCTAAAGGGAAGCCTAGTGAAATAGCAAGCAACAACTCAACAGGGAATAGTCCTTTTTCATAGCGAGGTTTAACTTTGCATATAAGAGAGCAACTTAGGGATGAACATGGTTGAATTTTGGCATTTTCAACAGAACTTGACGGCCAGAGCTTGCCAACGTTTTGATCTTTATTCATTCGTTCAATTGTTGAATAATGGAATTTAGGTCGCTTGGTGCTTCCCATTGTTTGTCTTGTA